AAAAAACAAAACACAAAACTGTTGTTACATTAAGTTGGTGACACAAATGTTCACATATGCAATATACCCCAGACAATGATAACAAGCTGACAACATATTGGCAGTCGCACATACACAGAGGCAATGCATGTGCAGGGGTTATGTAATTCAAGCCTGACTGTGATGCAGGTGGAACACTTCATTAAAAGTAAAAAACTAAATGGATAGGACCCAAATTCCTGTACACAATGGCACTAAATCACAACTGTAACAAAAAAAAATGTAAAAGTTAAAATTTTTCTTATTTATTAAGCTTAGGACCTAAATGAAAAAAACACAATTTTCCTTGTTGTTATGGAAAGCAAAAGTATGAAATATTGCATAAAAAAACACATCATATTTATGTTTTATGGCCAGTTGGTGGAGCTCAAGGCTAATTTTAACATATCTAACAGGTTAAAGCAGAGTTCCAGCTGAAAAAAAAAAAAACGAATAAAAGTCAGCAGCTACAAATCTGTAGCTGCTGACTTTTAAAATACAGCCACTTACCTGTTCCACAGTCCAGCGGTGTCCTCACCACCGCTGGTTTCACGGGCTGCCTTCTCTCCCTGGTGCCCACATCTTTAGTGTGGGCACCTGGCTGTGACAGCTTGTGGCTTCACAGCCGGGTGCCCACTGCGCATGCGCTTTGTGAATGGCCCCGTAGTCTTCTGGGACCTGTCACGTTTCCCAGAAGACTATGGAGGGGGGGCACTTCCGCTTCCTAGGCGATCGCAGCAGAAGTGGGAGCAGGTATCTGTCAAATTCGGGGTACCCACTCCCCCCCCCCTCCCAAAGGTGCCAATCCTTAATGGGGAGCGGAGGACAAAGCATTACAGCGGAACTTCCCCTTTTGGGTGGCGCTCCGCTTTAAGTCAGGCATGCTCAACCCATGGCCTACTGAACCGCCTCATGTAGGCCATGACCTAAAACCTATGGCAACCTGCACACTCTCCTTCGGGTACACACTGCTTTACTGAATGATTGCCAGTCCTCCTTAATCCCAGAGGCTGTCATACAGAAGCTGCTATTGTAGCTGGCTCCCCGTTCTTCTCTTTACTTTCTAACACACAGATGTGGGGGAAAGGAGCCTTTAGCCAAGTGGATTACACCTAGTGGCATCCATACAGGGGTTTTGAAGGTGGATTCTCACAGTTACGTGATGAGCATGGTGTCATATCGCGAGAATGTGAGTGCATTATGTATCAATTTATCTTTGCTTAATAAAAAAATTGATTGCACTACTAGGGCATGCGCTTCCCTGGTCTATTATTTTTATTGTCCACAGTCCTTGTTTTGGCAATTCAAGGAATGGCCGCAAAGACCATGATATAGTGAAGGCTGCAACACTGTTTTTTGGCTGGTCACACCTGAGTGCAAGAGTGGGATTAATGGTGATAATTGGGTTTTTTCACACCTCCCTTACATATACATAAGGGGCAAAGCACATGACTTCACAGAACAACAGTTTATAGAACATTGATATCATCAGTTCTCTTGCTTGTTTATGAGTTTGTTTAGATAGTGTGCAGGAACCAACAGGGTGGTCAGGGTGATTGGACCGTGAATCAGTCACAGCATATAATATAGCATGCACAGATAGTTTATAATGATGTGGGTTTAAATACATTTTAAAGCATGGTCCTGGAATACAGGATTATCCTGGTTGTTCATGCTCTAGTCACGTTTGTTTCAGTTTGACATACTGAAATTGCATCGGAAGCTGATTGCAGAGCTAGGTCTTCAAGAGTAAAGGGAGCCTTTTGGAAGCATCTAAACCTTCCAACTGTAGAGTTTTTGAAAGCAAGAACATCTTCAACTGGTACAGTTAGATATTTGTTTAAGACTGAGATGGCAGTATCAAATGTTCTTCTGAGTTTATTCCTGTGTTGTGTATCCCACTGGGGAGTGATCACAAAGTAGGGTATAGAATATAAGGTAAGCGTGTCCGGAAGGAGTATGCCGCAACCCAGGTGTAGACCATCCTGTAGTAAAGTCCCTGCTGCAAAAGGCAGATAAAAACCCCTGAATACCCTATATAGGCACTAGACTGAAGTGATGGTAAAGTATGCTACTGATGGTGTGATCTAACACCTGGTCAATCACTAGACTAGGCTCTGAATGTTTGAATTTTAGCTCTAAGTTTACACTGAATACATTCCAAACACAGTCCGGATTTTTACAGTGACATTCAGAGATACAGGGTGATGCTGATTACCTGCCTACAACACTAGACTGTATATAGAATCCTGACAGTGGGCATACCCCTGAAGGAGTCATCAGACTTTGGGTTTCATAAGGATGGAGCATAGCCCTGGACCCTATTGTTGACTACAGATGTTGCACTAAGTGTCAAGGTGAGTGCCCATGCAGGATCCAGTGCCTGAAGCAATATTACATGCCGTCTCCACAGCGCGGGGTACGGGAACAGTTTCTAAATTTTTACCAATGTCGAGCTAATCCAGATGGTATTAAAGGGCATTGAAGGAGATGATTGAGGAGATGACTGAACAGCTGATTGGAGAATCAGAAGATGAAATAATAAACTAGTTATGTATCCACAAGGGAGAATAGGTCTAACACCTTAGGACACTAGGAAAAACCTGAGGACTCACGGATTGGGGTAGGATATAGGGGAGGTGATTGGGGACCTGTCCCCAAAAGTTTTGCCAGTGTCCAATAAAATCAAGGTATGAAACCATAACCCAGCATCTATGAATACTTTGCCTGTGTCCTACACAATTAAGATAGCTGATTTAAAGCTTTTTGTGGCTTTTGAGGAATATACACTGCTGAAAAAAATTAAAGGAACACTTTGAAAACACATCAGATCTCAATGGGGAAAAATATCATGCTGTATATCTATACGGATATGTGCTGGGTAATGTGTTAGGAACGTAAGGATGCCCCATCGTTTGATGGAAATGCAAATTATCACCCTACAGAGGACTGAATTCAAAGACACCCGGAAAATCAAAGTGAAAAAATTATGCAGCACGCTAGTCTATTTTGCTGAAAATTCATTGCAGCAACTCAAAATGGTACTCAGAAGTTTGTATGACCCCACGTGTTTGTATGCATGCCTGACAATGTTGGTGCATGCCCCTAACGAGACGACGGATTGTGTCCTGGGGTATTTCCTCCCAGATCTGGACCAGGGCATCACTGAGCTCCTGGACAGTCTGAGGTGCAACCTGGCAGTGTCGGATGGGTCGAAACATGATATCCCAGAGGTGTTGGATTTAGGTCAGGCAAACGTGGCGGCCATTCAATGGTATAAATTCCTTCATCCTCCAGGAAATGCCTGCATACTCTTGAGCCATGAGGCCGGGCATTCTCATGCACTGCACCAGCATAGGGTCTGACAATGGGTCCAAGGATTTCATTCTGATACCTAATGGCAGTCAGGGTGCCATTGTCTAGTCTGCAGCGGTCTGTGCATCCCTCCATGTATATGCCTCCCCAGACTATCACTGACCCACCACCAAAACGGTCACGCTGAACGATGTTATAGGCAGCATAACGTTCTCCCCGTCTTCTGCAGACCCTTTCACATGTGCTCAGGGTGAACCTGCTCACATCTGTGAAAAGCACAGGGTGCCAGTGGCGGACCTACCAGTTCTGGTGTTCAATGGCAAATGCCAATCAAGCTCTAGGATGCCAGGCAGTGAGCAAAGGGCCCACTAGAGGACGTCGGGCCCTCAGGTCACCCTCATGTTTCTGATTGTTTGGTCAGAGACATTCACACCAGTGGCCTGCTGGAGGTCAGTATGTAGGGTTCTGGCAGTGCTCATCCTGTTCCTCCTTGCACAAAGGAGCAGATACTGGTCCTGCTGATGGGTTAAGGACCTTCTACGGCTCTGTCCAGCTCTCCTAGAGTAGCTGCCTGTCTCCTGGAATCTCCTTCATGCTCTTGAGATTTTGCTGGGAGACACAGCAAACCATCTGGCAATGGCACGTATTGATGTGCCATCCTAGAGGAGTTGGACTGCCTGTGCAAGCTCTGTAGGGTCCAGGTAGCGCCTCATGCTACCAGTAGTGACACTGATCCTAGCCAAATGCAAAACTAGTGAAAAACAGAAAAGATGAGTAGGGAAAAAAATATGTCAGTAGCCTCCACCTGTAAAACGATTCCTGTTTTGGGGGTCGTCTCATTGTTGCCCATCTAATGCACCTGTTGTCAATTAACACCAAAGCAGCTGAAACTGACCCCCTCTACTACACTGACCAGATCAATATTCCAGGAGTTTAATTGACTTGATGCTATACTCTGATTAAAAAGTGTTCTTTAAATCTGTAGCTTTCCCGCCATGAAGGTCGATTTTTAGGCACTTTCTGTTGCAGAGTTAACACTCTGTCCTTTTCTCCTAAATGTGCACCTGCACTGTCACATTGGCTACAAATAGCAACATATATGACACAGGCATAGTTCACCGTTGTCGCCATCACCATTGTTGAACTGCATGTAGACAGGAAGTATACATACAATGGCTGCTGATGATAAGTAGCACGGAGATGCAACAAAGTATGAAAACAAATCCAAAAATTGAATTTACCACACCTCAGGGCACAGTACCACATTCCAATAGACCAAAACAGTACACAGTGAATGAAACTACCTTCAAAACAAAAAGGGACTTTAAAAAGGCACTGTACTTTAATCACAGTACACTATATAAAAACAAAATATTTATTGTATTCCATTAAAATGATGGAAAAGTACATAGCCTCCATGTATAAATATTTAAACATGTAATTACAAATCAGTTGAATTAAATAGAATTACATATATACTATATTGCCAAAAGTATTGGGACACCCATCCAAATCATTGGATTCAGGTGTTCCAATCACCTCCATGGCCACAGGTGTGTAAAATCAAGCAGCTAGGCATGCAGACTGCTTCCATAAATATTTGTGAAAGAATGGATCACTCTCAGGAGCTCAGTGAATTCAGGTGTGGTCTTGTGATAGGTTGCCACCTGTGCAATAAGTCCGTCCATGAAATTTCCTTGCTACTAAATATTCTACTGTCAACTGTTAGTGGTATTATAACAAAGTGGAAGCAACTGGGAACAACAGCAACTCAGCCACGAAGTGGTAGGCCATGTAAAATGACAGAGCGGGGTCACTGCATGCTGAAGCGCACAGTGCGCAGAAGTCGCCAACTGCAGAGTCAATAGCTACAGACCTACAAACCTTGTATGGCTTCAATGATTAGCAGAACAGTGCATAGAGAGCTTCATGGAATGGGTTCCCATAGCCAAGCAGCTGCATCCAAGCCTTACATCACCAAATGCAATGCAAAGCGTCAGATGCAGTGGTGTAAAGCACCCCACTGGAATCTAGAGCAGTGGAGACGTGTTCTCTGGAGTGACGAATCACTCTTCTCTGTCTGGCAATCCAATGGATGTGTCTGGGTTTAGCGGTTTGCTAGGAGAACGGTACTTGCCTGACTTGCATTGTGCCAAGTGTAAAGTTTGGTGGAGGAAGGATTATGGTGTGGGGTTGTTTTTCAGTGGTTGGGTTTGGCCCCTTAGTTCCAGCGAAAGGAACACTGAAGGGGTCAGCATACCAAAACATTTTGGATAATTTCATGCTTCCAACTTCGTGGGAACAGTTTGAGGATGACCCCTTCCTTTTCCAACATAACTGCACACCAGTGCACAAAGCAAGGTCTATAAAGACATGGATGAGCGAGTTTGGGGTGGAGGAACTTGACTGGCCTGCACTGAGTCCTGATCTCAACCTGATAGAACACCTTTGGGATGAATTAGATCGGGACTGTGAACCAGGCCTTCTCATCTGACATCGGTGCCTGACCACACAAATGTGCTTCTGGAAGAATGGTCAGACGTTCCCATAGACACCCTCCTAAACCTTGTGGACAGCCTTTCCAGAACAGTTGAAGCTGTTATAGCAGCAAAGGGTGGGCCATATATATCTCCATATAAATGTCTGTGATCCTCTTTATATATGATCAGCTGTGATTCCTGCTGTGGATTGGAGGAACAATGGAGAGAAGAATCCACTTTTAAAGTTGTTCACATAAGTGCAATTTGACTCTTAGTGTTTAAAAGTCAACTCCAGTTGGTGAGTAGGTGAACAAAGCATGATCCCTGCATCATTAACTTGCTCTTTCACCGTTGCACTTTGTTTTATGGACTGCACTCATTTCACTTTGTTGGACTATTAAGCAAATGAACTGAAATTTACAAATAATGTGGTGTATGTGAAAATGTAGCACAGTTAAATTATAGTAGTGTGGTATTTGAACGGTTTTGTCCTTTTCAGACAGCAGCAGCTCTAGAAATTTTGGTATTTACATAATTTATTTATATTGTTTTTTTTTATTCATATTATTGGTATGATTTCACAATTCATTTGGTATTGATATTTAACATAGAGCAGGGATATTACATATAATGTAGTGTCTTTTGCACGCTTGTTGGGGCCCAGTTGGTATAAGGGGGAGTTGAGAATGATGACAGAGAGAAACAAATGAACAAGGGGAGAATTAAAGTGGTTGCACAGGCTAAAGGCTGTTTACCTTCATGCACCCAACAGAAGAGAGGGACAGGAGGAGGAGGATCCGGGCTGCTCTATGCAAAACCCCTACACACAGTAGATAGACATGTTTGATATTCCCCCCCCCCAAAAAAAAAAAAATAACCTTTAGAATCACTAACACCTTTCCTCTCGGTGACAGCGAATTAAGGCAGGGTCCCCTTTAAAGCACCAACACGGGGCAGGCTTGAAGTAATAAATAGCAACAATTGACATGAATGTGCATAGGCAATGACAGATTCCTTTGTACATCAAGGGTAAAAGTCAACAGTAATGGGAATCCTGCTTTGTTGAGGAAGAGAAACATGCCATTTTAGTAGACACTGCTGTATCCTGGTGTGCAACTTCATGGCCTGTGATCAGTTTGTGATCAAGAAACTGCAATGTAGATGTATCTCAACGATGGCAGCCGCAAGAACTAGGCCACAAACTGAAGCATCTACATGTAATGTTCACAACTATGTGTAGGTAGATAGCAGTGCACCTAATGTGTTGCCCAAAAACATGCTATCAAGAATATGACTAAATAAGTGATAGGTGATATAAGTGAGACAACTATTAACCAAATATAAGTGATCATAAATGAACAATATTCATAAATCATATAACAAAGTCCCAAATGTATAAACGATGTGAGCACGTATTAAATTTCATGGTTTAATACGTGATTCAAGTGCGTCAGACTGTCTAGCGTGCACGCTTACCTCCAATCTTCAACCCTCAAGGAGTCATAAGGCATAACAAATCACTAGTTAGTCCCAGGTGGGATAAATCTCACTCTCTGGATGGACACAGAATCAGCTTCCACACAGCCCATGGTTAATCAACCATTACCACCTTTACAATCTCCTCCACTCTCCCATTGGCTCATAAAATAAATAGTGTCAGGCCAAATCATCACAAAAAGCCACCATAGTGGGTGCTTGCATAGGAAGTCCAAATATAGCTGCTGTCCGTGTGTAATTGTGTCACCATGCTCTAGTCTGACATGTTGCATCACAATAACATGCAACTTCTCCAGGATTATCCACCTGTTATGACAACAGTCCCATGCTATTGGGGGAACCTGAGAATTCAGCTGGCATTTCTGCCAGCTAACCATAGAGCTCATTGGAATGGTGCCAATCATCTATGTAGTCTAAGAAATCAGAAGCTACGAGCATTTCATCATTTCAGTTTTTCGCAGGATATAAACAGCGCCACTTGTAAATTGGGAAAGCATCTGAGCACACTGATCTTTGTGAGATTAGATGGAAGGACAGAGATGATATCCAGAGTCTACTAGACCCCAGATTTCTATAAATAAAAAAAAAAAAAAAAAAAAAAAAAAGTTGTGCAAGTATTGACCCAGTGTCAATCAGGTGCAGCAATTCTAGCACTAGACCACCTGTATAAATATAAAATTGGTGACCTATAAAAGGCTTTTAAAACCCCACCTATGGATATTGAAAATGTGTGCAGTTTGTCACCATTACACAGGGCATGCACAGTTTTAAAGCATGTCATGTTCTGTATCTATTTACTTGGCTTACTCTTTTATACTTTACCCAAGTAATTGGCCAATATATTGTTTTTTTTGCAATAAAAGTAAAAAAAAAAAAGGTGCAAAATTTTCTGCAAAATGTATTAGTGATTTTTTTTTTCCAATGTGACAAAAATTGCAGCACCCACTACTATGTATATATGTGTTAGGGGTTCAAAGTAATTTCCTAGCAACCCAAACAAAAACACATTTTCTCATGTGAACAAAGTGTCAGAAAAGGCTTGGTTTTCAGGTGGTTAGAAAAGTGAGAGGTGTGGCATAAATTTCTAATGCTCCGCATAAAAATCCCCCCAAATGACCCCTTTTTGGAAAAAGTAGACACCCCAAACTATCTGCTGAGAGGCATGTTAAGTCAATAGGAGAATTTGACCAAAAGTGTTTGGAAAACACAAAATTATCATGTTTTATTGCTCACACATGCCATGGGTATATGTGGAATTACTCCCCAAAATACATTCTGCTACTCCTGAGTATGGGGATGCTACATGAGATATTTTGGCAGTCTAGCTGTGTACAGGGCCCCAAAATCCAATAAGCACCTTCAGGCTTTATTTCCTCATTTCACTTCCTGACTAGCCATCAGTTTGAGGGCCCTGAAATGCCATCACCAAACAACCCTTTTTGGGAAGGTAGACACAAGGAATTTGATCAGCATGGTGAGGATTTTGCAGATCTTGTTTGCCACCACAGGTTTAGAAAATGGAAAGGTTTTAGATTTCAAAACCTTGTGAGAAGAAAAAAAAAAAAAAAAAAAAAAAAAAACTCACCATTCCTTGGGTGTCCAACAGCAAAGTGAAATGAGGAAGTTTACCATATGCAACATGAGAGTCGGACAACCCCCTCCCCATGAAGAAAGCCTGACTCCAACCAATGCAATCTCCCACTCCCATGGAGGAGGGAGCCTGAGAAATTGACCAACACCACCCCTGCCCCTTTCCCCCATCCGAGAGAGCCTCTTAATACCATTGCCCCTCATACACCATCTTCCCCACCTGGCAAGAGAGAAAGACATCTTCACAATTTGACATCTGCAGGAATGAGAGTCAGGCTCTGCATATACCATAAGGCAGCCCCTCTCAGATCCCACTTGATCCATGTGCATCCCTTCAGTCCCCCTTCTTCCAGGGGGCAGTGCTGCCCCCCTAGGCAAATTGCAGTATCTATACCATCCATAGTTTGTAGATGCTATATCTTCACAATGCAATATACACCTATTGGGTTTTTTTTTTTTTTTTTTTTTTTTTTTTTTAAACAAAGACATGTAGCAGAATACATTTTAGCCTAAATGTATGATCAACTTGAGATTATAATTTTTTATGGCTGAAAGTAAAAATTATATTGTTCAAAAATTTTTGGTCTGTTTATAGTGCAAAAAATTAAAAGAGCACAGGTGATCAAATATCACCAAAACTGAAAATAATTAAGTGTTTTGTAATGTTTGTGTAAGTGGTCAGCTAGTGTTGAGTCACAGATTTCTAGGAGAAGCTCATACATGTTTTATCCTCATAGCAAACTGCACTCTATGGAGTGATTGGAGGGAATGACCCACCTTCACACAGCTCACAGAACAGAGCTGAGGTTGTCAATCTGCTTAAGGTTGGGAAAACCTGTCAGATGTATTCATGCTGATAAGAGGAACAAAGTATACAGAAAGACCCAGTTAAGAGCACCAAGTCCAGTACACACTATGAGGGATTTGATCTTTGTTCTATTTCATGTCAGTTTTACAACCATCAGTTTTTCTGAATGTTGCCTCACCAGTGTATCAATATAATCAGCGCATCAGCAACAGTGTTTCAAGTTCTAGCCACACTGGAGCCTAGCAAAATCCAGCAGTGCCACTGATTCAGTAGGATATCAGTGCCAGGAAAGCCAGCAACACTGTCCTGATAACTAACCCACACACATGAAGCCAGTGACATTGTTTTTAATTGCTAGCCACACTAGTGTCAGTAAAGTCGGCACAAAAGTGCACTGTGTAGCTGGCAGTCAGGTTACTGGGGAGGCTAGCAGCCAGGACCTCTAGCGTCATTGTAAGCTGATAGACAACCAGCGTTATCAGTATAGTCACTGACAAATGTGTCCCAAAATATTAACCCAAGTGAAAAGGACCCCTTCAGACGGAGTATGTTTGAGTAGTGGGAAGAGCCCTGTGAAAAGCAGTGGTTCATTAGTGCCCACATTTGAGGATAGAGAAAAGTTGTCCCTGCTAAAAGTCAAGTGTACTTTGTCAAAAATC